CCGGCTCATATATATATATATATAGAGAAGGACACACACACACACATGTCACCATGCATCGTCCCGACACTTTTGACTTCCGAGGAAGCTGGGAAACTTTCCTTCCGTGGCTGCATTGTTGGCTTGTGGGGTGGTCTGGTGCCCAGGGAGACGACCAGGGCCAGGGTGCGATTTGTGGGGGTGTTTACTGGGTCTAGGGTGTAGGGTGATATGGGGGTCGGAGCGATTCGTAGACATGTCCCCTTGCAGTCCTTAATATAAGCCATGTGTCGTAGTTCCAATAGCCTATTCTACTTGTTGAGGGTGCTCATTGCTTTGGATGAGGGCTCCCTGTATGTTGAAAGGTTTTATAGAAGCTTATACTTGTTTTCCAGACTTGTTCAGGGCTCCCCCCGTTTGGGACCCCGTGTTCGAGCTTCAAATAATGGTCCCCCATTGTTTGAACACCCATTGGAGAAATCATACGGCAATATCAAGCTCTTGATTTCCTTAGGTGGTCCCGGTGATGGTTTGTTATTGTTTCCCGTTAATTGAGTTCAAGAGGACGTGATTGAACACTTTTTCAGGGACTTTTTGATGGGCCAACTTAACACAGGTGCTCGGGATGCCTTTACGATAGAATAAAGTCCCCGAGGTTTCCCTTAAACCTTGTAAACCTTTGTCCAAAAACCACCAAAGCGCTGTTGGGAGCCAGGGCTGCTAAAGACAGGGCAACGCCTCAACGTCCTAAGGACCAGAACATAAGCAGGACAAGCGCTCGTGTCGGGAGAGCATGCGCTTTGAGGGCCTAGGGTTCAGGGTTTGTAGGGGGGCACCTACTGTAGGGTTTTGGGGGTGCTATGGGCCGCTATGGGTTTGAAGAGAGATGCTTCGCTCTTGCACAGGGGCCATCCCCCAGGGGCCAATATCAAGGGTTTAAAACCTCGTTAGAACCTATTACGTTGAGAAAGAATTTCTTCTCGATCTCCAATCTCCCAAACCTGTGCCATACAACGCGGAGCGCATTCAAAACGTAAACAACATGAGTTAACAGCCAACGAATCAACTTGATAATACAGGGTCAGAGGAAATAGGGCCATATCCCTTTATACTGACACTCCCTAGATGCCTTGCACGGTGCCATCTAGTCTAGTCATTCAGCCCCTTACATTCAAAGCCTCAGGGATCTCGGTGGTGGTCGTAGTTAGGGGTAGTAGTTGTTGGTTCTGCTCCCTGAAGCCTTGGCTTAGAGCCCTATCGATGGTAAATGCTGCTCAGAGGATCATGGGACCCAGGTCCAGCAAGCCATAGCCCAGTTTAGAGTACTTGTAGCCCTACTACAGTTACTTAAAATCCTCAACTATAAATCCTAAAACCCTAAACCCCCCCGAGACCCACCGCGCTGAACCCGAAGATGCTCAGGTTCCCACGGGATTGCACGAAGCCGTGGACCAGGTGCCTTCTTGTTACCTGCGGCTGCTTTTGAATAGGGTGCCTTAACCTGCCTGATCTCGTGAGGGTTCGTGAAGGATCACTATGGTAGAAGTCTGGTGTCTGAAAAAGGGCACCTGAATCGTTAGAAGAGGATTTGAGGGGATCTCCAGAATCGTCCGTTAGAAGAGTCTTTGCGGGGAGCAGAGTAGACTATGCTAGATGTACGGCATTTTACATAGGGTGCTTGAATCGTTAGAAGAGGCTTGGGAGGAATACCATACTAGAATGATATGGGGCCTATTACGTAGGGGCGACTGTTGGTGACCTAAGTGTCCAAATGGCCCAATAAGTAGGTGTTTGGTTTAGGATGGTGGCAGCCTAGTAAGTGTTTGTGGAGTATGCGATTAGTTGGTACTTTGGACCCCGAGGGATGTGGTTGACGACTTGTGCATTTTCTGCCGCCGCCATCGTTGCTGGTGATTGCCAGAACTTGGTTAGTGGTCGTGCACAGGTAGACACTCCGACTCTTTGCAGTGTTTGGACCAGCACGACACAAGTCATAGTAAAGTGACACTTCGCATAGCACCGGTGACAGCAACGACACCCGCAGTTGCAGCTGTGGCCTTGTTCACGTTCTTGACGTTGCTGCCCTCTCGTTTGCGAGTGGTGCATGCTGTTGTTGTTGATCCTGCCGCTCTTATTTCTGTTGGTGTGCTTCGGCTCAAAAAAGCTGCAAACTTACTTCTAAACTCCCGAATCATCGAATCCGCAGACCTCCGGCGATTGGATTTAGGCTCAGGCCCTTTCGAAGGGCTTCAGCCGCAAGCTTAGTTCGTCAAGCCATTGTGCTTGGTGGGGCCTTTGAAGCTGCGCCCTGATTCTGATGATGGTGTCTTATTTTTGGAGTGGGGAGGCGCACGCACTATAGCTTCTTCATTCGTTTTCGTTCAAGGGCACTTTATTTTGGCGCGTTTCGTTCTGGCTGTTTGGAAGTCCATAGGGTTTTACAAGGAGCTGTAGACGGTTGTAAAGCAGTTTGAGAAAGATGGGGTCCCTCCTGAGTGGGTCGTTATGACCGGATCTTCTTGAATCTCCCACCTTTGCAGAGACTTCAAAACCATTGAGTCTTCGGGTGGTCTCCAGTTATTTTTTGGGTGGTGGTCTGTGTCTTGGTGGTCTCCGGAACCCAACCGCCACTGCTTTCGACGCCCAGGTAGTTTCGGTGCCACACAAATTAACGGCAAATCTAAACTTACCAGGGACTTGATTGGAACTCTAATAGCCGACTAAAGTTTTGAACCGTAAACACCTGACCTGGACCTGGACCCCCAACTACCCCCTATTAGACCCCGACTGTCCGCCACTCAGGGCTTCATTGAAAGATATCATAGGAAGGTTATTGGAGCTGTTGAACCCTAATTCTAATACCGGCCAGACTCTAAACCTTAGACCGTAAGCTCCAAGTTGCAAGCCCTAATTTCGAGATCCTACCGTTCAACCCCTAGTGCGTCTAAGGCCAATGGGCAGCTGTGAGTCGTTCTTCTTTGGCCCAGAGCCCGACGAAGTGAACGGCGCGTGGCACGGCGGCATAGACAACATAGTTTTGGTGTTCTAGGGAACTCATAGGGTTCTAGTATCAGGTGTTGACGGGTGTAAACAGGCCATCTAAAGATTGAAAGGGTTTTGGGGGCCTGGACGAGAGCTGCGCAAAGACTTCAATCAGACAACAGGGTGTCTCATTACACAATTCGTCTCTGGAGGCGCCGACGATACAGGGTGTCCCTTGGAGCGTTTGGCGGCCAAGGTGTGTTGGTTTGAAGGTTTAGGGAGTTCACGCCATAATTTCGTGAGCTTGGATTGAGGGTGTAGGACTTTGAGCTGTTCGGTAGTCTCGCAACGATCCTGAGGATATAGCGTGCAGAGAGTTGAAAGACAGGTGTGCGGAGCCCAGCACTTCTGTTCTAGAGGATTCCGTAAACTGTGTAGGAGTACTTCCGAATCATACGACAGTGGACTCTCTGAGTTAGAGGTTTCGAGATCCGATCTTCGAGTGAATTTGCTGGGGGTTCGAGCTGAGAGTTTCGGTAACAACCCTGAGCCACGTATTTCTAAGCCGTGTGCATAACCCCACATGTGTGATTTCGCGTATGCTTGGAAGCTCTATCGACCTGGTAGTCAATGTAGCAGTAAGGTGGCGTATCAGGGGATCCTATGCAGACTTGATTGGTCAGACAATTCTCCGAGTAGGCTTTATACTGGAAATTTCTCACGATAGATGACGCTTACGCTAAGCAGTAGGATTGCTCTTGTACAGGACCTCCAAAACGAAATCCCTAAACGCAATTCCCCTAGACCCTATAATCCCCGAACCAGGGTTTCGGAAGCGCACCCTCAACCCTAGAGGAAACCCTACTCCCTAAACGGGGTCTCGGAAGCGCGTCGACACAGGAATGGGCCGATCCGAAAAGGCATGAGAGTGACCCTCGGCAAAGTTTTCAAAATGGTTGGTGTCTGCAGTCTAGGGTTTAGTGCGTAGCTCCACGCACCAATCCGTTTAGTAATTTAGCATATCCTTCTTCACCGTGTGTTGAGTTCACCGCGGTGTAGCGGTTTTACTTTCAGGGTTTAGGATAATGTGCAGTTGGGGGGTGCGTAAAACCATATCATCGTCCCTATACGTGCGAAATCGTTGTTGAGGTGCGGGCTTTGAAGTTGGGATCATGTGGTTCTTGGGGTGCGATAGGGGCAGCACCTGATTGAGAAACGGCTTGGGTTTGATAGGGTTCTCGAAGAGGCTTGTAGAGTTCTATACGGGTGTTGGGTTCCATAGTGTGGGGCTTGCATAGCGGTTTACTGTTTATAGGAGTTTGATGCTGTCTAGAGAGGGTGTTATGGGGTCAAACAGGCTTGCGCAGGATTGTAGAAGGGCTTTGGCGGGGTTATTGTAGAGCGCTTCCCTACAAACGACACCCGGAGCTTACCGTCATGCTCCTTTTCAGAAGGAATCGAATGCCAGCCAGGGTCTACACGCTACTTCAGTTATCTGAACGCTATCTTTTTTTCTGTTTCTTACATGCGCCTTTCGTGTATAATCAGCCTTTGGGCCTTGTGGCTGAGCACTTGGGGCAAGTCAGAGTCCAGAGATATCCAGAGCGGATCTCGAATCTGTTGTTGCATGCTGCCCCAGACTACAGTATCCCTTCTTAGTCCATCTACAGCTACATGGCATTACAACATATTTGGAATGCTACACACGGTTACAGTCCCTACGGGATGCCCGGTTTCCATGAACGAGCGATAGTTTCAAAGGTCGTTTGGATCTTCCAGGGTTTATTTTGTTTAAGAAGGTTTCAGGGTTCAGGGCTAAGGCTAAGGGTGTTTTCAAGGTAAAGTACGACACTGGTGCTACAGAGAACTGACCAATGCCTCAAAGACCAGGCAAACTCAGTGGACCATCGCAGAAGGAGGCGATGGCCGATGGTACATGGGCACCATCAAAAGGCTCGCGTAGTTGCTTTCGATGCTTGGATGATCTGGTCATAGCAGTTTTGCACCGGCTTCGGTGCTTGCTCTCCATAGACCCTAAGGCTTAAGCTCCGACCTGAAACTCCTGAGCCGGGAGGCTCTACAATGGCAACAAGTGCAAAATCAACTACGACGATGGCCACTAGGAGAAAAGAGGGTTCAGGATTCCGGGTTTAGGGCTTAGGGCCTGCTTTGCGAAGTGTGGTTAGGGCAAGCACGCAGACAAACTCTAGAGCTGTTTCGAAACATAGAGTCAGAGGCTGCCGCTTTGACGCAACCCTCTGTAATTTTCAAGAGGCCCTGTCAGGGAAATACAGGGCCAACATGAGACATTCGCATAGCTTGCCGCAAAAGGGCGACCTGGCATTACTCCGGAAATTTGAGCACTAAGCTCCAACTCGACAGACGTCCCTCCCGCTCCCAGGTGCCATTCCTGCTCTGCTAGGTTTCTGATATGGTGTAGGACTTTTCGGCTCTCGTTTCAAGAAACCCTAGTGAGATCTTCTACTCTGAGGGCAGCCTTCAACCTTCTTTGCCGCCTCAACTCCCCTAAATCTCAAAAACTGGAGCAGTAATTTCTTGAACATTCCTGAACCTTACAACCCCGAACGAACATCCGATATCCTAAGTGCCCCCTACACACATTGCGGGTTTAGGGCCAAGGTGTGAAGTAACCTTTTTGACGGGCTACAGCACGGGGTACTGCAGAGCTCCAAGCACAGGCGACTCCTGGACCGGGAACGCGCGGGAGGTCTTCGACTTGAATGGGCAACCACCGGCCACGTGGCTGAACTGCTGTGCCACAGGGGTGCTGAGAACACATGTAATGATAATGACAAGCACCGTTGTGAATCTTAGTATGATTATGATTACGACCATCATCATCATCACTATTGCTATTCTTTCTGCTATTACTCTCAGCAGTAGCAGCAGCAGCAGCAG